TTTTGTTCCCAGTCCTGGGGATTGAACCCAGGTCCTTTACACTGAGCTGCATCCCCAGACTATGTATTCATGTCTTTATTTGTATTTTGAGACAATGTCTCAATTACCTGCTTGTCACTGGAACACAGTTACTGACGCCCGCAAATCTAAAGAGGAAGGATTTACTTTGGCTCACAGTTTTGTAGAGGTTTCCGTCCATAGTGGGCTGGCTCCAAGGCAGGGGCACAGCAGAGGAAAGCAAGATGGAGACCAGGGGAGGAGGGAGGGAGGGAGAGCTTCCAGGCCACGCCCCCAGTGGCCACTCCTCAGACCAGGCCTCCCCTCCCAACATCACAGTTAGCTGTCAGTTCATCAGTGGACGCATCCACTCATGAGGATCACACCCCCACGTCCAGTCATCCCCCAAAGCCCCACCTATAAGAACATGAGGCTTTGAGGGGGCATCTAGATATAAACAATAACAGACAGGATCTTGCTAAGTTACTAAATTGCCCAGGCTGCGCTCAAATCTGCGATCTCCCTGCTTCAGCCTCCCAGAGTGCCGGAATTACAAGCATGCACCATCACACTTGGCTTCCACTTTTACATGTAACAGATTCAGTTACCCAGAGAGTCATTTAATCTCAGTTCCAGAACCCTGAGAGAAACAGTCAGTCAATCCAGCAGGCACTAGAATTTCAACCTCGCAGTTCACAGTTGGGTGTGGAGTTTAACAGCTATCACTGCGGCCATTCCAAAGAGACAGTTCCGGCTGGCCATGGTGGCACATGCCTGTAATCCCAGCACTCAGGAGGCTGAGGCAGGAGGACTGCTGTGAGCTCAAGGCCAGTCTGGGCTACAAAGTGAGTTTAAGCCCCACCTGACCACATAGTGAAACCCTGTCTCAAAAGGACAAAAAGAACAAAAACAAAAACAAAAACAAAAAACGAAGAGACAATTCCTCAACAAGAGAGGCTCATCAAACCTACATTAGGCTGGCCTTGAACTCACTATGTAGCCCAGACTGGCCTCAAACTCATGGCAATCCTCCTGCCTCAGCCTCACAAATATTGGGACTATAGGGGTGCAGCACCACTATGCCTGGGTACAATTTGTCTTCTAAAGAAAAAAAAAGATTAAAAGGAAACACCTAATGTTCAGGTTTTATTTACTTATTAGAGTTTTTTAAAAATAAAAACATTTTTTGCCTATAGTAAAATATACATAAATACGAAACATACCACCTGTAATGGTTGATACATTGTGTCAACTTGAGGAGTTTAGAAGTTTAACTCAACACAGGGGCCAGGGTCCTTCCTTTGTAAACATCCTCACCCTGTGCAAGAGGAGGCTGCAGAGATGGTGTGAGTGCTGCACCCGCCCCAGGGAGTGGTAGCCTGCTTACAGTATAAGGAAGGAAAAGAGGCTTGTTCTCCTCCCTTTTTGCTCTTGCTGCTTTTACAGTCTTCTGCCAAACTGTTGCCCCATGCCATGTGCCACCCCGCCTTGGAGCTAGCTGATTACAGACTGCAACCTCCACGCCTGTGAGCTAAATAAACCTTTTCTTCCTTAACGTTGAGTGTTGGGTATTTTGTCCTAGCAATGAGAGAAAAATAACCAAGACACCATCACAGTAACCATTTTCAAGAATTCATTACAGTTCAGTGTTATTAAATTCAGGTTTGTAATCTCACCAAATTCTAACCTCTTCAGGCTTCTGCAGGCGGTGGAGTTTCGGAGTGTGGGGTTCCCACTTCCCCCCACGCCCCGCCCACTACCCTGCGCTCCATCTGTCCTCTCCCTTCAAACCCCCAGGCCAGTCAGGCTGAGTCAGGCTGCTCTTGTGACCAGCTTTGTAAGACACTAGCACATCACTTTGTTTTTGTAACTGTTTACATTAAACGGCTGTCACTTTGCAGAAGTGTAGGCAGATATAAATACCCACTGAGGGCTGGGGATTTAGCTCAGCGGCAAAAGCGCCTGCCTGGCAAGCGCAAGGTTGTGAGTTCGGTTCCCGGTACCGGAGAAAAACCAAAAAAACCAAAACAAAACAAAACAAAAAAATACCCACTGAGAGCTGTGCTGTGTTCAGGGAGCCCACCAGCCCAGGTATCTACCTCTGCGCTCCAACTTGGTTACACCACTCCTGCCTTGCGCACAGACAGACAGACAGACACACAGACGCACAGACACAGACTTGTGGATTGTGTGACTGTGGGCATGTCACCTCCCATTTTTAGACCATTCTTTCTTCATCTGCTGGTAAGTTAGTCACAGGAGACAATCTCTGGAAGATTCCTGGACTCCAGATACCAATAGCCCCGTCGCCTTCTGCCCCAGGCTCCTCCAACTCCCACCACCAGGAGAAAGCAGGAGAGGCGGCAGAATGGCCGGGAAACAGGTCCAAGCCGGGTTTATACCCGGGACTCTTCCCAGAGGCGCCCATTTTTACTACCCAAGCCCCACTCACAGATCTTCCACAAAAAAAAAAAAAAAAAAAAAAAAAAAAAGGAGCCAGGGATGTAGCTCAGTGGCATAAGCACTTGCCTGGCAAGCCTGAGGTCGTGAGTTCGAATTCCAGTCCCCCCCCCCCAAAAATCTTTTCCAACCAAAACTGGGGTTACGTGGTCTGAAGACAAGGAGACCTATGTTAATTAAGCGTGAAGACAGCCGGGCCAGCAGGAGGGGTGTGGGGCCTGGATGACAAGACAGGGTTGTGGGTGGGGCAACCTCCCCAGACAGGCAGAGGCTGCACCTTGGAGGGGGGGGGGTCGGTAGGGCCAGGGTCTCTGTAGCCTCTTTCTTGGCCTCAGGGTAAATGTTCCTCAGGGTGAGACCAAGTTCAGCAGAGCCACTGCCCATTCTGGCCCCACCTTACACAGGAAACGCCTCCTCGCCGCACTGACCACATCCCCCCAGGTCGCCTAGGAAACAGTGTGGGGCAGGAGGAGTTGGGGCAGTTGCCCTGCAACAGGTGGCAGCCTCCCTTCCGCCTCCTCTGAAGCCAGCCCCCTCTGCGCCCACAGACACCCGTCGCAGACACCGCCTGCACCTCCCAGCATGCACCCGGACAGTGGCCCTGAGGAGGGCCAGGAGCCCAGCCGAGCCAAGGTGAGGTGGGGTGCAGGAGGCCCCTGAGGATGGGAACGAGGCAGGCAGAGGGACCTGACACAGAGACAGGCCAGAGACTGGGCAGAGCTGGCGAGGCGAGGGTGGGCAGGGCTGGCACCTGAGAACCAACGCCCCAGCAAATCCTCAGAGCATACAGAGGACAAGACCGCCTGCCGGCTCCTGGCAAGGGGCAGAGGCGGCCACAGGGGCTCGCGAGGGAGGGGGTTCGGGAGGAGGGTTCTCTCAGTCCCTCCCCGCCCCAACTTCCTCTCTAAGCCAGAACAGGATCTGAAGCGGCCTGGACAGGAGAGAGGAGCCCTTAGGGACCTCAGTCTTTTCTCTGAGGCAGCCTGAGGTTTGGGAAGGAAATGCTCTCCCCGGAAGGGACTGGAGCGCCCACAGGGGGACCTGGCTGCAGGCCAAGGGAGGTTCTGCCCGTCCCCTCCCTCACTTTGCTGGCTCTAGTCCTCTCTGGATCCCCTTGGCCTCTCGATCTGTCCCACCCCCCCAATGGGAGTGAAGCCAGTGCCATCCTCAGCTCTTTTTGGTTTTTTTTTGAGACAATGTCCTGCCTCAGCCTCCCAGAGTGCTAGGACCACAGGCCTGTGCCACCATGCCAGGCCCTTAGTGCCTTTTGGCCTGCCTTGGATACTTTCTGTCTCTCTCCCTCTCGATTGTGCCAGCTCTGCTTCATTTGCTTCCTCTCTTCACCCCATATCTCCCAGATGCCCTCGACTTCCAATCAGCTCACCGGGCACATGGAGGGGCCCCCTGCGACCGAGGCAGCCTTGTGGGCCCCGCTCCCTTGCGGCCCCTGCATCCCCATCCTGCTGGCCCTAGCCTCCCTCGCCGCCTTCTTCATCCTGACTACAGCCGTGCTGGCCGAACGTCTGTTCCGCCGCTCTCTGCGCCCCGACCCCGGCCACCGCGCGCCCACCCTGGTCTGGCGCCCCGGAGGAGAGCTGTGGATCCAGCCGGCGGGCACCGCCCGGGAGCGCTCTGAGGACTGGTACGGCTGTGAGGCGCCCCTGCTCGCTGATGGGGGCCCAGAGCCTGCTCCCCCCGGGGGCACCTTGGAGGCCCGGGCCAGCGCCCCACCTGCGCCTTCAGCCCTGTGCTCTGCCCCCAGCTCCCTGGTCCCCCAGGAGCACCCTGAGATCCTGGCTCGCAGCACCTTCTGGGGGCCCCAGCCACATTGGGAAAGGCCCCCCACTGCAGGCCTAGTGAGCTGGGCTGGGCCTGAGCTGAGGCCAGAGGCCACCGAAAGCCTGGGGAGCCCCAGAACCTGGAGGCTGCGGCCGGGGAGCCCCGAGCCTGACTGGAGCCTCCAGCCTCGGGTCACCCTGGAGCAGATCTCTGCATTCTGGAGGCGGGAAGGCCGGACCAGCGTGGGCTTCTGAATCCCCAGGGCCTCCGCGGGACGGGCCCCCAGAAGGCCCTCTGGAAGGCACTGCGGCCCCACGGCTGTCTGAGGACAGGTGCTCCCCCAGGCCTCGATCTGAATTTTCCGTTCCCCTGGGCCTGCGTGGGGAGCAGGCTGAGCGCGGACGGAGGTGTGCACGGAGGACACCCGGCAGCGTCTCTCACCGGGCCTCCCGCTGCTCGCCCGCTGTGACTCAGAGCTGGAGGTAAGGCCAGTGCTGGCCCACAGGCTTCGAGTATGCATTTCAGAGAAGTAGCTCAAACCAGTTTCCACTTTGGAAGTAGCTCAAACCTTTCCGCTCTGCCAGTGGGTCTGAGATGCCACACGGGGTCCGGAAGAGGATGCTGAGGAGCAGCCTGGGAGAGGTGATCAGAGGTGACAGGCGTGCTGGCCGGAGCCGGCAGGAGCCCAGCTTCCCAGGGCCACAGGTCTGCTCCCTTCCCTGACCTGACTCCTGGCCCCCACCGTGAGGTCGTCGGAGAACATACAGAGGCCAAGACCAGGCAAAGGAGCCTTCGACTACACTGACTGCTGCGTTCATCCTCAGATGGCGAGGAGGGGCTGACCCAAGCGGGAGAGGCCCTGCCCGCCCGGTGTTGAAACGTAGTCAAGGAAGACCAGCAGGGTCTGCGCAGCCTCCCACAGCTGCGCCATCCCAGGCCCCTGGGCCTCGGCGCTCCCGGGGAAGGCAGCCCTGAGGGAGCCACCGGGCAGCCAAGGAGAATGAGTCCGAGCCCGTGTGGAAAAGGCTTGGCCCCGGGAAGGGCAGCTCCCTAACCCTGGCCTCTGGCCATCTTCCTGCCCAGCTTGCTGGACTGGTCCAGAGAGATTTGCCCCAAGACAGGGCTGTTTATAATGATCCACCGCATAGAAACGGAGCCGCAAGTGCTAGTAGACCTACTTACCAGCAGACGCCCCTTCCCTAACCCTCCCCCTCCCCCTCTTCCACCTCCCCCTAACCCTGGGGAGATTCCACTCCCCAGGGGCTGATTTCTCAAACTTCAATCATGAATATTAGAATTTTTGACATATCAGTTTATCACCTTTAGTATTACTTACTTTATATTTTTTTCTTTAAATTGACCCATTATTTGCTTAATAAATTTATTTTAAAAGGAATCTTTTTGTGTCACTTCCATAAATGGAAAATCAGTATCATGTGCCATTAAATAGAAGGTAAAACATGAAAATAAATGCAAGGTAGAAAAAAATATTAGGTTTTAAGTAGACACTGTTGCCTGCTGGAGGAATGGACCACAAACCGTGCTTTGTAACATTTTTTCCAGAGCTAGGGATGGAACCCAGGACTCAGAGCCTGCCGGTGCTAGGCAAACGCTCTACCTCTGAGCAATAATCCAGCCCTCTGCTCTTTCTCTATTAAAAGGGGCTGACCAGGCGGAAAAACATGGGCTCCCACTCCCAGCTACTCAGAAGGCTGAAACAAGAGGATCGAAAGTCAGGCCCGGGCCAGGCGTGGTGACGCAGGCCTATAATCCCAGCATTTGGGAGGCTGAGGCAGGATGATCATTGTGAGTTCGAGACCAGCCTGGGCTAAAAAGTGAGCTCAAGGCCAGCCTGAACTGCATAGGGAGCCCCTGTCTCAAAAGGACAAAAGGAAAAAAAAAAAAGAAAGAAAGGAAGTTCAAAGTCAGTCTGAGCAATGTAGCAAGACTCTTTCTCATAATACAAAATAAAAGGAGTTGGGGATGTAGCTCAGCCATAGAGTGCTCCCAAGTTCAACCCCTGGTAGTAGGAAAAAAAAAAAGTAAAGAGGGTAGCCAGGTGTGGTGGCGCACGCCTGTAATCCCAGCACTCAGGAGGCTGAGGCAGGAGGATGGTTGCATGTTTGAGACCAGCCTGGGCTACAAAGTGAGCTCAAGGCCAGCCTGAA